CGTGATAGAGAGGCGGAGGGAACCAGCCGAAAAGTCGTCCTTCGGGGTTGGTCCTGATGACGCGTCGTATTTTCTGGCAGACGTTTAGGGCCCAGGAGCCTGGCGCGGAGCAGAGTAAGGCCAGAGAGATCGCTGCTGTGCGGAGTTGCCAATCGCTCCCGACTTCCTCGAGGGCTCCGGTGTCTTCGCATGCCCAGATTTCAGGCAGGCCTTTCGGCGTGGGCCACCATATGTCTCCAGGCTCCCAAGAATTCGCCCACGAGCCAAGTCGGGGTGAAGTCGGAAGGGCCAGGCTGGGTGGGGGAGTAGAGATGCTCTGCAATTGGGGCATACCGCATGCCCGCTCTGACAAGCTGCAACAGCAGAGCGGTGTCCAGGAGGTCGAGGGCATGCCTGTTGGGTGGTTGGCCCGGGCCTGCGCCTGGGTGACTCTGTGGTAAGTCATCTGCTCGCGGCCCCCCTGGGTTGTAGCTCCAGGGGTTGGCCAGCCTGTGGCAGGTGATGCAGATTCGCCCAGTGGGATCTCGAAGCACCCAGGTGTCGCAGAAATCACATCTCTCTCTCGGGCAGAAAAAGTTCCGCAGCCGTAGCCTATGCGCTGTGGTGGGCCAGGGCCACGCGTTGTCGCTACTGCCGCTCCCTTGAATGGGTACTCCAGGGATGCCCGTTGAGCTGGCGGGTATCCCTGAGAGGGCGGGCTCTACCCATGGTACTGGGCCTCTACCTGCCTGTCGTCTCGAGTGCACGTCGTTCCCCGCCCGTTCGAGGTTCCCTCTCGTGATGGCCCACTGCCTGACGTCCCCATGGTCCAGAAAGTGGACTATATTTTGTCTGCGCTCATGAATTAGGACTCTGTGCGCATACTCCATGGTCTCATCATCCGCGGGGTCCTGCGTCCCGTCTGTTCGGTTGGGGCCACTGCTGTGCAGGGGGACAGCGTCTTCGGGAGATCTGGTGGGCATGAGCATCCTATATGTGTCAAATCCGCTCGGGGGCTCCATGCCTATGTCGCAATTATGCGCAGCGGCAACCATGGCAACGTACTCGAGACGCGCCAGCTGTCTCTCCGTCACTGAGGGGTCGGCGGCGTCCAGCCTTTCCCTTCTTATGCTGGGGTCATGGGTGATGCTCGCAAAGCGAAAGGCAAGGACCTGTATTGGGTCAGGTTGCACGCCTCCTAGACGCCCGTCGTAGTCTCCTCCAGTGACGGACCAGACAAGCCAGGAGTGGTCCAGGATAGCGAGGATCGGGGCCGAAGTGGCTAGCTCCGAGCCGAGTCCAGGGAGGGCGGCTTCTGCTGGAGCCACCCGCATGGGGCTGTCGGCTCGTATGCCTGGGTGGCCTGGGCGGTGCCCCCTCCACGCATGGTGCATGAGAAGCTCGAGGTTGCTGGTCTCGCGCGGGGTTCTCGGCGTTCCGCGGTCGGGGACCTTGCGCCAAGGACCGTCAATGCGCACCAGGCGCCGACGGAGGGCACTCATGGTACCCCCCCTGCCGATGACCCTGGCGTCCGCCACGCGCGGGCCGCACATGGGTCCGTCCGCCTCCCGGCTGGCCGCCCAATCAGCATTCGCGTGCCCAGTAGTGTCCAACCACCGGGCGTGGAGGTCAGCAGCGCCTTGCCCTCTGTTTCTCCGCGCTTGACTGGGGTCCTCAGCATCTGAGGGGGCGGGCTGGTTCTCCATCCACAACTCCTCCTCCAGGGCAAGGTCTGGGGATGGGTAGGAGGGCGGGTCAGCTAGGACAGGGCCCCCATGTGCCGCGTGGCTCACCACGAAAGGCGAGCCGTTGTCCGTCCAAAGGAGGGGCCCCCGTTTCCTGTCTTGTGACGAATACTCAAGGCCGCGGCGGCGTCCGCCAGAAGGGCCATCAGGACGCTCGAGCCCAGGGGGCGGGTCGGGGGGGGAGAAGTCGGGAGAAGAGCTGGTGGGCGAGGGAGGGAAGGCACGGGGCGATCCGGCAGCAGCGATCGGAGATCTGGCGTGATCGATCCGATCAACCAGGGGAGCGGCCCCGACCGCGGGATCGGAAGCGATCCTGGTAGCGTTGGGCGAGCGAGGTAGTCCCATGGGCCACCCAGCCGTCGCTCCCAGGGAAGGTCGATTGCGATCGATCATTTCCGTGGAGGAGCGCGCCTCCCTGCGACCACTGACATCAGGATCGCCCGTCTCTCGCTCTCTTCCTTCTGGCTGAAGGCCAGTCTCAACAGTGAGGTTTGCTGCGCAGGGGCCGGGCGCGACTCTGGCGTCGGCACCCGCACCTCCAGGGAGAGGAGCGTCAGGGGACCCAGGAGGAGCGGGGTCCCCTCCACTCGCGGTCGCGGGCACAGCGCTTCGATCAACGTCCATGCGATCACAGGTTGCTGCGGGGGCTGAAGGCCCGTCTTCTATGTCCGCTCCGCTGCCTCCCGATACGCCTAGGGCAGGCGTCTGCCTGTCTCCCCTCCCGACGCCCTCGCAAACACCCCCCCTGTGGGAGCCAGATCCCTGGTCCCCTCTTCACCGTCGCAACGGCCCCTGGGTCGAACGCCGTGGGCATCCCTCTGCCTGCCGCCATCCGATCCAGGGAATCGACTGAAGGTCGCAATATCTGTGTGTATCGCAGGGATGAACGCATCACCCCCTCCTCCAGGATCGTGCCTGCCGTCCTCAAGTCCAGGGAAGCGACTGAACGCTGCGTCGGCGTCGGAAGGCGCTCCAAGGGCTGAAGGCCCATCTTCTATGTTCAATTCGCAGCTGAAGGCTGCCTCACTCGGCGCAGGCGCGTCCAGGAGGGGGGGCTCGGCGGAGCGCAGGCACAAGCCTCTGTGAAACGAGTCGGGGCCGAGGGCAGGCGTCTGCCCATCTCCCCTGCCGACGCCCTCACGAGCGCCCCCTGGGGGTGCCAGTTCCCTAGGCCCCCCCCTCCAAATCGCAAGGTGGCCCCTGGGTCGGACGCCGAGGGCGTCCCTCTGCCCCTCGTCAGTCCGCCTACGAAGACCTGATCCGCGGGGGGATTTGCTTGTTCAGGAGTGGGGCCCTCGCCCCCCGTACACCTGGCATCGCCGAGGGCGATCCCACTCTGCCCAGCACCGCCTGGAGAGAAAGAGATTGGGCGCCCAGCAGTGGGCATGGGAGGGGCTGCGGTGAGAGAAGGGGATAAGCTAGGCGGGAGGGCATCATGCCTGCAGTCATCACATCCAAGGAAACGACTGAAGGTCGCAAGGTCAGTGTGCATGCTGTCGACGCCCTCGCGACCACCCCCTGTGGGAGCCAGATCCCTGGTCCTCTCTTCCACGTCGCAACGGTCCCTGGGTCGAACGCCGCGGGCATCCCTCCGCCTGCCGTCATCCGATCCAGGGAAGCGACTGAAGGTCGCAAGATCTGTGCGTATCGCAAGGATGAATGCATCACCCCCTCCTCCAGTGTCGTGCCTGCCGCTCTCAAGCCCATGGAAGCGACTGAGCGCTGCGTCAGCGTCGGGATGCGCTCCAAGGGCTGAAGGCCCATCTTCTATGTTCAATTCGCGGCCGATGGCTGCTTCACTCGGCGCAGGCGCGTCCAGAAGGGGAGGCTCGGCGGAGTGAAGGCACAAGCCTCTGTGAAGCGAGTCGGGGCCAATGGCAGGCGTCTGCCCGTCTCCCCTCCCGACGCCCTCACGAGCGCCTCCTGGGGGTGTCAGTTCCCTAGTCCCCCCCTCCACGTCGCAGAGGCCCCTGGGTCGAACGCCGAGGGCACCCCTCTGCCCATCGTCCGACTGCCTACGAGGACCAGGAGCTGTGGGGGGATTTGCTGGTTCAGGAGTGGGGCCCTCGCCCCCCGTAAACCTGGCATCGCCGAGGGCGACCCCACTCTGCCCAGCACCGCCTGGACAGAAAGAGATTGGGCGCCCCGCAATGGGCACGGGAAGGGCTGGGGTGAGAGAGGGGGATAAGCTAGGCGGGAGGGCATCATGCCTGCCATTATCACATCCAGGGAAGCGACTGAAGGTCGCAAAGTCAGTGTGCATCGCAGGGCTGAACGCATCAACCCCTCCTACAATATCATGCCTGCCGCTCTCAAATCCAGGGAAGCGACTGAAGGTCGCAATATCAGTGTGCATCGCGGGGTTGAGAGCATCAACCCCTCCTTCCGTTTGGCTGAAGGCCAACGGTTCTCGTGCGCATGAGGCGTCGGCGGAAGCGTTCCCACTCCAGGGAGCAGGGGGCGACGGCTGCCCTGGCAGGATGGTGTCCTGTGATCCAGGGCGAGGATGCCTTGAGTCAGCCAGTCCGCAGGCCCCAAGGTCGACGACTGCGGACGCGGTCATCGTCGCCACAGGGATGGCAGGATCATCGCCGATCGATCGCCCATCCATGCTAAGCAGGAGGGCCGCGCACGTAGCCGAAGACGAGGAATCCAGGGAGTCTGCAATGGCGGCCCGGCCCCGGGGGAGACGCGCGGCCCAAAGGACTCCTAGGGGAAACCCCTTGAGCTGGGAGACCCGGCCGAGGGACCGGGGCCCAGAAACGGCTTGAGCCAGGGCTCCGGACGCCGGTGGGGATACGCGAAGCGTGAAGAATCAACATGAAGTAGCAAAAACCTCGACTGGAGCCCTAGACCAAATCTTTCCTCACCATGTTTCGAGCCGGATCGATGCGTGAGGGTCCCAAGGCCCGACGCTGGACGAAAACACCTGGCAAGAAGAAATTGAGACGCTGGGATCGCAGGGTCTCCCGTCCTCACCCCGCCCTTCCCTCAGGACCCCTTCCCTTCGCGCCAAGCGGTCACAGCTCGAGAGCTCTCTGGCCTCGTCGTGTGACCAGGAGCGGTCACCATCGAGCCGGTAAACCGGACCTGACCGGAACATGCACCGCATCGGGCCGCATCGGCACGGAGTCAGCACCGGATCGAGCAACAACGCCATGCAAGCATCGGGCCGCATCGGCTCATGGCAACGTTTGAGAGAGATCGGATCCGGCCAGCCGGAACAGACATTTAACCGGACTGATCGTATCGAAGTGGCCTCGCCGTGTAGCGGTCCTCGCCGCCGCTCGCGGGTGCCGGCGGGGGCGGAGGCCGCCCGCGCAGCGCGTCGGCCCAGGCGGCCATGGCGCCCTTGCTGACCTCGTTCTGCGGCGCGGCCACCTGCCAGGGAGGAGGAGGAGGAAGAAGAGGAGGAGGAGGACAATTGTAAACCCAAGACGTAGCAGCGATGTTGCAATCGACCCGCCCTCCAAGTTACCGTATCGTAAGCCCCTAGAAGGACTCATTTTCACTGCGGGGAATGAGCCGTTGGAAGACAATCGTCTGAAACTGATCGACTGTGCCAAAACACCGTTCCTGAGACTTCAACGCCGCGAATTAACGTTACTGTGGCGCCCTGGCAGTCCTAAATCGTTCCAAACACCGCTTCTGGGACGACAGCCATCAGAATCCGTCAAACTGCTATACACGGTTTGAACGAACGTGCGCGGCGCTAAGGTGAGAACAACTTGTTGGAAAGGAACAGCCCTCTCTTGAATCTTGAAAACTCTGAAGACGAATGTGCGCGGCGCTCAAGCGAAAACCACATGTTGAAAAAGAGCCGCCTCCATCCGCGACATTCTTGCAAACTTTTAGAACGAGTCTGCGCGGCGCTAAGGCGAGAGCCACGTTTTGAAAAAGAGCCGCCCTCCATCCACGAAATTCTTGCCAACTTTTACAGCGAGTGTGCGCGGCGCTAACGCGAGAACTACATGTTGGAAGCGACCCGCCCTCCACCTCGTGAGGAAGTCTCAGGCGAGACGCCCAGCCCGCCCTACTGACGCGTCTCCGGGTGCAACAGGGAGGAGCTGTTCATAAGGATAAGGGATGGAGGAGGAGAAGGAGGAGGAGGAGGAGGAGAAGGAAGAGGAGAAGGAGGAGGAGGAGGAGGAGACTCAGGTCCCATCTCGCCCCAAGCTTGTCAGGCTCAAATGAGCTAGCGGCATGGGCGAGGTGCCCCAGGGCTGGACCATACGTGTGCCGACTTGAGCGCTGGTCGAAGCTTTCTTCGGGGCGGCCGTTGCAGGTGAACGTCCGGGTGAATTGGCTGCAGGAATATCGCGCACATCCAATTCCCTACACCCGGATGGATGTGTTGTTTGTAGCATGTTGTTCCGTTTGTTCGCGGATGTAGTCGCTCAAATTCAAGTTTTTGGGCGCGCTCTTCGTGCTGCATGTTGAGGTCGCTATTTCAACTGCAATGGTAGGAACAGGATGTGCCGGCCATCCGTACACTGAGCCGTGCACAATGTGGGTTATTGGCTTCCAGATTCAGCGTGGCGGCAGCGAGGCGGATTTTACATTCGTGCATGACCTTGTACTTGTCCTGTGCTGGGTGCGTTTTCAATCAGGCGTCCTCCAGGTATTTGGCACTATGGGTTACTACGTGCTTGCATTGCAGTCACAGTCACAATGTTCTGTAGTACGAAGCAGCAGTCCCATCGGCAATTCTCTGGTGCTTATGTTTTTTTGTTTTTTGTGTTCGCATTGTTGATGTACGCTGGGCAAGTTCCTGGACTCCCTGGGGGGAGTGTCGCTTCTGGTCGTTTGGGTTCTGCTGGTGGCGAGGTACCTGTGTGTCTTCAACCTGTTGTATTGTATGTGGCTGACATGGCGGATTGCCTGTGTGCAGTTTCCTGGTATCAAAGTCGTGGAACACGCGTTCGGGCTTCTTCACGCACTGGCGCATGAACTTGAACTCCTGAGCGAGAGGTGCGGTCTGCTGGACCGATCATTGCTTGATGCATTGAAGCAATTGAAGGAGGAGGAGAAAGAGGTTGTGGAGGAAGTGGAGAAGGATGAGCGGGTGGAGGAGGAGGAGGAGGAGGAGGAGGAGGAGGAGGACGAGGGGGATGAGGTAGAGCGCAAGAGAAGGAGGGGGACGAGGGGGAGGAGAAGGAGGGAGAGGAGGGGGGGAGGAGGAGGAGGGGGGGAGGCTTTGGAGCAGGCTTCGGCGCAATTAGAAAGATGAGAGGGAGGAGGGGGATCGAGGCTGTGGAGGGATGTTCGAATATTCCAGCTTTTCGCAATGTTCGGCAAGTTGCTGATACAAAGCTGCATTTAAAATGTTCAAGGCGCAACCACTGCGAACGAGACTGATCCGACTTGCAGGACTCTCTTCCTGCATTCCCCGTCCGATGACGGACTGGGGTTGAAGATCGACCGACTGGAAGACCTCTCACATTCAGCTGATATTCACCGTGAACTTACAGTTCACCTTGACCATGACCTTCAATACCTCTCTCCCCCCGTCCCCCTTCCATCCTCTGAGAGGGAGCGGGGAAGAAAGTGCTCCTGCTACAGATCTTTAGGCCCCGGAACCTGGGACAGCACCAGCTGCACCAGCTCAGGCCAGCCGAGCCTGACCCGCCCCAATTCGCGTCCCTGTCACCCGGCTTCCGCCAGCCCAAGCAAATCTTCTCCGGATAGCGCCGCCCCGAAAACCCGGGAGGCTCACCAGGAGCGTGTTTCCTTACTACTTCTGGTAGCGGTTGTTACCTGGAGGGGGGGGACAGGTAACGGAAACGCTTGGGCGGAGTGGGGTGCGTCGGGGCGGGGGGGGCGCTGCGATCGTCAAAGTATGCGCGCGAACTCCGGCATGCGGGGGGGTGTCCAGGGCCTCCGTCTGCGCACGATCGTTCCCGTTAACCCAGGGGTGGGGGGGGAGGGAAGGGTTTGGCCCAGGTAACCCCAGACGCTTCACCTTCCACACCTTCCGACCAGCAGGCGGCTGGTTTGGTGATCTTCTCGAGGGGCGAAAATCAGCATACATACAATTTCTCTCAGGTCCAATCGGCGCTGGACCCACTTCCCTGGCGCGCGCAGCGATTCAGGGGCGACGCCAGAAGCGCCGCCAGGGGGGTCTAGCGCCGATCCAATAAATCCACACAGAGCTCCGAAAAGTTTATCTTTATGCAGGTTGCTGCCCCCCGAGAAATTAAGTAAATCAGCAACCTGCTAATCAGAACGTGTGGAAGATAGAGAATTAAGGACTACCGTTACGCGCCAAAAGATTTGGGGAGACCAAAAGGTACCGATACCATTACTCCCCAGACCTCTCCGTGGGTGCGTTCTGACCCGGATTTCGAGGAGAATTAGGCAATCGCGACGAGGGCCTCCCAGAAGGTCCAAAAAGGAGAAAACGAGGCAAGGGCTGGGGAAACCAACGGTACCAATGCCGCTACTCCCAGGATCTATCCCGGGGTGCGTTCTGACCAAGATTTCGACGCGAATCCAGCGGTGGCGACGAGGCCCTCCCATGAGGCCGAACAAAAAGATTGAAAACGAGGCGGGGAAACCAAAAGGGCACCGACTCCCCGGACCTCCAGGGGCGCGTTCTGACCAGGATTTCGAAGCGAATCCAGCGGCTGAGGGTCTCCCAAGAGGCCCAAAAGGGGGAAAACAAGGGAAGGGCTGGGGAAACCACAAAAGGTACCGATACCGCTACTCCCCAGACCTCTCCCGGGGTGCATTCTGACCAGGATTTCGAGGCGAGCCCGGCGGTGGCGACGAGGGCCTCCCAGGACGCCCAAGAAAAAAGGGGAAACCGAGGCAAGGGCAGCGGTATGGGTACCTCTTCCTCCGCTGAAGGGTAGCGGTGTCGGTCCTTATCCTCCAAGAGAGCGTGATCCACCGCCGCTTTACTGTGGAAAATTGCCAACCTTTTCCTCCGGAACCCGGGGGTCGCCCCCCCCCCCCTCCGAAAATCCCCCCCCCCTGCTGGACCCCCCCCCCTTCCCCCGGCAAAACCCCCCCCCCCCCCCCCCCCCCCCCCCCCTTCCCCCTCGAAAACCGGGGGGGGATCACTACTGGTTCGAACCCCTCCCCCCCCCCTCTCCGGATCCGGAAAACCGGTGGGGGCAACTTCCAGTTCGAACCCCCCCCCCCCCTCGAAAACCGGAGAGGGGTCACTACCGGTTCGACCCCCCCCCCCGCACCGCCAGCAAACGACTCCCGGTCCCTACCACCGTCCGCCGTCCGCATCACATCCCCCACTGTTGTTCCCAGCACCACTGTCCTCACCATCACTGTCCCCACTGGTTCCACCACCGTCCCTACTGTCCCCACCAGTGCCCCCACCACTGTCGCACTGTCCCTACTGCCCCCACCACTGTTCCCACCACGGTTCCACTCTCCCCACCACTGTCTCCACGGCCCCAATCACTGCCCGACTATCCCCACTGTCCCCACTGTCCCCGCCACTGTCCCCACTGTACCTCTGTCCCATTGTCCCACCGCCGTCCTCGCCACCGCCTTCACCACTGTCCCCACCACCATTGTACCCTCCACTGTCCCACTGTTTCCACCTCCTTCCCACTGTCCCCACACCACTGTCCCCACCACCACCGTCCCCACCACTGTCCACTGTCCCCCCTGTTCCCACCATTGTCCCCACCACTGTCCCCACCACTACCGTCCCCCCACTGTCCCACTGTCCCACTGTCCCCACCACTGTCCCGCTGTCCCCTCACCACTGTCCCCACCAACACCGTCCCCACCACTGTCCGCACCCCCACTCGGTTTTCGAGGGGGGGGGGGGTTCGAACCGGTAGTGACCCCCCCCGTTTTCGAGGGGGGGGGGGGTTCGAACCAGTAGTGACCCCCCTTCTTTTCATGATGAACTGGGGGGGGGAGGGGGGAGGGGTTCGAACCGGTAGTGACCCCCCCCCCCCGGTTTTCCGGAAGGGGGGGGAGGGGTTCGAGCCGGTAGTGACCCCCCCCGGTTTTCCGCCAGCAGCGGTAGAACACGCTCTCTCTGTCCTCCGGATCAATTCAGTCTCCAGGAGACGGACATCGACCTCGGGCAGCATGGGCCTCGTGGGGGTCCAGGGGCGCGTTTTATGGGGCCGGTCGCGGAGCCAGAAGGCGAGGCCAGCGTGGTGCGACGCGGCGCTGGCCCAAGCTCTCAGCGCCACGAGGCGCTCGCCAGGGTCGCGGTCACCCAGCATCGCAGCCACCACCTGCGGGATCATCCAGACGGAAAAAAGACGAAGCCTGGACAGGGACAAAATCGGACGGGGATAAGTTGGGGATCTCTGAGATCCGGTGGTTCTGGAAGATGTGTCGGGCGCCGTGGCCTTCTCAGAGCGCCCCGGAACTTCTCAGCGCGTTCCGGAACGCTATGATCGCGTTCTGAAACACTCTTGAACGATTCATCCCTGTCCTAGCCCCACCCGAGGGAGACAAGGTCGGATCGGAACAAGCGTCGTCAGAACATCGGAGTAGAGTAAGACCGAGCCAGCCAGAATCGATATCGAATCGGATTCATCGGCCCAAACGTGCGACGTCCAGACCCTTTCCCAATGACCGGCTTTTTGTCCAAGGTCGTTTTGTTATCGGTCCCCGGGCCCGGCGAGGGCCCCTGGAGGCCGAAAACAGATGAAAGACTCCGTCGTGATCTGTCCGACGCGAGCATGTGAGGAATAGCCCCTGCACCTGCGGGAACGGGGCCTCCCTGGTCGACAGCAGCACACCTGCGGCCTCCGGCGAGCGCAGCAGCACGAAGCCCAGGAGGCGGACGACGCAGAGGCGGACCGAGCTGTCGCACGTGGGGTCCACGAGCTCCTATGATACGCAGAAGGACGTACGAATATATACATATACATACACACATATCTACATATGTGTATATATATAAATATATGTTTGTGTGTATGTGTGCTGATGTTGGCGGTGCACATCCGACATGAGCACACAGCACACTCTCGTCTTACCGTAAATCGTTTCCCGAGCGTTCTGGCCAAAAAGCGCCCGACCCAGGGCTTACGCTGTGAGATCTCTTGGCGTGCGCGTCGCCCGTGCGGGGCCGACGCACACACAGCATGCGTGTGCTCAGGAGGTGCCGATCCTGGGCCAGGTGCTGCGGGACGCCCTCCTGGCTGAGGAGCACCTGGCCCCTGGGGTAGGAGCCAAGAGCATCCATGAGCTCGACGGCGTTGAGCTTAAGCAACAGGTCGTCCGTGAAGAAGGCCCCCAGGACAGACTTGTAAGCGCCGCTGCCCGCCAGCGTGGTGAACACATCGTCGGACACCCTGCCCAGCTCCACGAACAGGTGCAGGACACGGATACGTTCCTGGAGGTCGCGTACCCCGCCCTGCCAAGTTGAGGGAGGGGGGAGTGCGCGAAGCTGATGGCAGAGTGCGGGCGTGGGAGGAGGCGCTAGAGGGCCATAGGACAAGACAGGCCAGAGGGAAGTACTGGGGAGGTGGATGGAATGGACCAAGGCGGGCGCTGGGTACGTAAAGGGGTGGACCTGATTTCTGGCTCACTCACCATGTGCAGGAAGGAACATACACACACACACAGACACAAATCATCTTCGATCCCCAGAAAAAAATGAAACATATGGGAAGTGGGGGAGACGACGAAAATAGAGAAAATATGTAAAGACACATGGAAACCTGAGATTGTTGTCTGCATCTATTTGCGTGTGTCCCTGGGCCCCTTGACACGCTGCTACCACATAAGTCCTGGAGCCCTCTGGGCGGCCAGCTGCCTTGAGCCACCCTCTCGAGCCCCTGCGGTCAAACACGTGTGCTTACAGCGTGTCGCAGCGGCGGCCCCTGCGACCCTCTGCCATGCTTTGTAAGCTGACGTCGTGTCACTTCGCTTCGCTCGACAGGAGGCTGGGCAAAGCTTGGCACGCTGATGCTTGGGCACTGGGCTGTGGGTAGCGTGGAGCGCGCCGAAGCGTAGTAAGCAAACGCTCATGGCCGTGTCCCCTGTCTCCCCACCCCCACCCCGTGGCGGGAATCCCTCTCCCTCTACTCTTGGGTCGGGCATGTCCCCCTACAGGCCGATTTTGAACAAAAACAAAATACTCACACAAATATTCCAAAATATGTATGAAAATGCAAGAAAAATCGTCCCCATACGACTTTGGGGCTATTTATTTTCCTCCTGTAAAGGGACAGGCCCGACTTAACTCTAATCCCCTCCAGGACCCCAACCTCTGGGGGCATAAAGTGCACCATCAGGGTGCTTGAGAGCATCCTGGATCTGCTTCGGATACCAATTGGGATCAAATAGGGGGGCGCGAGTGCATCATCCAGATACGCGAGAGCATCCTGGACTTGCTAGCATCCCGGACTTGCTCCATGAGATCGACTAGGTGTCGCGCTGGTTGATTGACTGCATATGCAACGCCGCATCGCAGTGGATAGATATTGAAGATGTATTCGACATGTGCAAGATTGATTGTGATCATGTTCATCCTGTTCGGTGTATCCACAACGTGAAATCTTGCCCGCTCATTCGGATCAAGCTTGTGAAAAAGGCCCCCCCGCAATTCGACGCGAATTGAAGGATGCCACCTGGGGTTCATCCACAGAACTGACCTCTAGAAACCGCCTGCAATTGCGTCAGCTGTTAGAAGCCTGGCGGGAGAAAGGGCATGGAGAGACGGAGTGGAGGAGGATACGGAAAGAGCGGAGGAAGAGCAGGAGCAGGAGCAGGAAGGACGCAGGAGGAAGCAGACAAATGGAGAGGGGAAGGAGCAGGGAGCAGGGAGCCGAAGGCACAGGCTCTGCGGGCTCCCCTGGGGCCCTCTTAGGCCGTGTGGAGGGGGTCCTGGCCGGGGCCGACAAGGGTCGTCGTGGGTCTCCCTTCGAGGGGCACTTCGAGCTCAAGTTGTTGTTGAAACCATGTAGCGCGCGCTATGTGGCTGGATGGGGGTGGGGTCGCTGGGCACATAAGGTAACACGTTGCGCGCGCACTACGAGCAGCATACTTGCGCGCTGAACAACAGGCGCTACTGCAACAGGGGTGGGTGAGGCGGAAGGCGTTATATTATCTACTGGGCGGGCAGGTGGGTTGGAGGCCACATAACGCGCGTTATGTGTTCGAGTACAGGGAGGTTACAAAAACAAGGAATTCTAAAACTAAGGAGTTAACCATTCTAGGTTGTCCCGTAGAGATTGCAGCCCCGAAGCAAGGCAGACAACAAAACTAGAAATTTAAAAAACAAGAAACGGACCCGCGACGCGGCATGAACCAAAACAAGGAACACCCTGGAACAGCAGGAAGAAGATCTGGGAAACATCTGTCGACAGACCTGGGGAGTGTCCAAAGGAAGACTTGACGCGGTTGCAAAGCGATCAATCTGGAGGAATGTGTCGGGAATAATTGCGGAAATATGTGAGGGAAGAAGATCAAGCGGAAAATCTGGCGAAAGATATGACGGAACATCTAACGGAAAATCTGGCGGAACGTCCCGCGGAAAATCTGGAGGATAAATCTGGCGGAGGATCTGTCGGAAGATCTGGCGGAAGATCTTGAGGAACATCTGGCGGAACATCTGGCGGAAGATCGGGTGGAAGATCTGGCGAAAGATATCGCAGAAGATTCAGAAGATCAATCTGGAGGAAGGTATAGCGGAAGATCTGGCGGATGATCTCGCTGAGGATCTGGAAGAAAATCTGGGGGGAAGATCTGGCGGAAAATCTCTCCGAACATCTAGCGGAAAATCTGCCAAAAGATCAGGCGGAAGATCTGGAGGAAGATCTTGCGGAAGATCTGGCGGAAGATCTGGCGGAAGATCTGGTGGATGAAACTGGCGGACGATCTGGCGGGAGATCTGATCTGGCGTAAGATGTGGAATATAACTCTGGAGGAAAATCTGGCGGACGATCTGCCGGAAGATCTCGCTGAAGATGTAGCGGAAGATCTGGCGGAAGATCTCGCGTAAGATCTGGAGAAAGATTTGGCGGAATATCTGGAAAAAAATATGGTGGAAGATCTGGCGAAAGATCCCGCGGAAAATCTAGCGGAAGATCTGCCAGAAGATCTGGCGGGAGATCTTGAGGAATATCTGGCGGAAGATCTGGAGGAAGGTCAGGCGGAAAATCTGGAGGATAGATCTGGCGAAGAATATAGCGGAAGATCCGGCAGAAGATCTGGAATGCAAATCTGGCTGAAGATCTGGCGGAAGATCTGGCGTAAGATCTGGCGGAAGATCTGGCGAAAGATCTGACGGAAGATCTGGAGGAGGATTTGGCGAAAGATCTGGCGGAAAATCTGGAGGATAAAACTGGCGGAAGATCTGGCGGAAGATCTGGAAGAATATTTGGCGGAAGATCTGGAGAAAGAGGAGGAGGGAGGAGGGAGGAGGAAGATCTGGGGGAAAAGCTACGTGGAGATCTGGGGGGAAAGCTTGAGGAAGATCTGGACAAGGAGCTGGGGGTTCCTGCTCTTCCACCGCCTCCTCCTCCTCGTCGTCCTCCTCCTCCACTCCGTCCTCTTCCTCGTCCTGCTACACCTCCTCATCCTGTTCTTTGGCCAAATATTCCTCCAGAGCTTCCGCCGGAACTTCCGCCAGATCTTCCACGAATTTTCTCCTCCAAATCTTCCTCCAAATCTTCCTCCAGATCTTCCCCCAGATCTTCCACCAAAACTTCGGCTAGATTTTCTGCGACATCTTCCGCCAAATTCATGTTCCAAATCTTCCGCCAAGTCTTCCGCTATCTTCCGCCAGATTTATCCTTCAAATATTCCGCCAGATTTTCCGCCACATCTTCCGCCAAATTTTCCTCCTAATCTTCCGCCAAATCTTCCGGCAAATTGATCCTCCAAATCTCCCGCGAGATCTTCCGCCAAATATTCCGCCAAATCTTTCTCCAAATGTTCCGTAAAATCGTCCGCCAAATCTTCCGCCTAATCTTCCGCTATAGGTATCTTCCACCAGATTGATCCTCCAAATCTCCCGCGAGACCTTCCCGCCAATCTTATGCCAAATGTTCCGCCTAATCTTCCGCCAGATCTTCCGGCAGATCTTCCTCCCAATCTTCTGCCATATCTTCCTCCAGATCTTCCGCCAAACTTATCTTCCAGATTGTCCGCCTGATCTTCCGCCAAATCTTCACTCAGATCTTCCGCCCGATCTTCCGCCAAATCTTTCCCCTGATCTTCCTCCCTCAGATTTTCCCGCTGATCTTCCCCCAAACATTTCTCCAAACGTATCGCTTTGCATCCTCCGCCAGGGGGAGGAGGAGGAGGGGGAGAAGGAGGAGAAGGGAGAGGAGGAGGAAGAAGAGGCGGGGAAAGATAGCCGTGACCATTTTTTGAAAATAGGTTTTCGGCGATCACTCGCGCGATGACGGCAGGGCATGAAACAAAAGCAGGACTGTCTAGTTTTTTGAACTCCCTGTAAAACAAATTCAGCGTTTCTGCGTTTGTGCGAAAGTCTTATGGCTCGGCCATCCAGTACTGTATAAGACACACCACGGACGCCAGGAACACCTGCGGCAGAAGCAAACACGCACATCGATCTGGACTCGGGCGTCGGGCAGGGGGAGGGACGAGAGAGGAGGAGGAGGAGGAGGAGGAGGAGGAGGAGGAGGAGGAGGAGGAGGAGGACGGTGAAGACCCTGACGTGCGCCGACGTTGCGTTTTGAATCCGCGGCCCCAGCGTCCCAACCGCTTCCCTGGAGGTCGTTTTTCCTCCCAGATCCATGACATCCCCGGGGCCCGAAGACGGCCCCCGAGGGTCAACGTAGAGGAAACACACCTATACTGAAAACACAATTAATAGTTATGTATGTATATATATATATATACGGACAGACATCCATCCATCCATCCATCCATACATACATACATACATACATACACACATAAATTTCCACAAACAAGCAAACGCCAGAGACCCAGCCAAACAAAAAAAGACGCAATGGGAGGTGAGGAACAAAACAACAAACAATCAATCTACAGCTCGCGACGTCGTCTTGGCCAACTGTTCTGGGACAAGGAGGGCCAGGCGGATGATATGACGGATGCAGGCCACTGCGGCAGCAGGGGCGGTCCTGAGACGCGCCCTACCCTCAGACAGCTAGTGCAACGTAGGCTTTGGGATGGCATTGGGAAAACATTGAACAAGCGCTATGAGAGAGACGGGCTGACATCCGAGTGCGTCCGTATCCCCGACGATGCTAAGCATCAAGTGTTTTAGGGAAAAAACTCGCGACGACGTCCTGGCCAACTGTTTTGGGACAAGGAAAGCCAGGCGGATGATATAACAGACGCAGGCCACTGCGGCAGCAGGGGCGGTCATGAGACGTCCCCTACCCGACCCCGAAGGTACCTTTGGCCGAAGACAAGATTATAACATTTCCTGAGCGAGTGTCTGGACGGCCCGAGCAGGCTGGAGGGACAGAGACTGGAGAATGTACGCGGCAGCGGCGGCGGCGAGGCGAGGGGGGCACTGAGCGGCGACGGCGGTCCGCTTATGACCCTTCTCGTCGTTCCCTTCAAGAGCGGGATGCCGGTTGCCAGATCTGCCACAAAAACCTAGGCGCACCGAGCACGTTTTCTCTTGCGGCAGCGTCGCGGCTGTACTCGAAGAACAGACAGTGGTAGCCATTGGCGCGCCGCACTGGCACTGACGCAACGAAGACTTGCGACAGAGGGGCGATTTACAGAGACGAGCAAGCGCAGGGCCAGACCACAGCAACGAGGTCTAAGGACTCTCGAGAAATACTGGGATACGGGCGGCCACGCAAGCACGGATCAATCTGACTGTGAATCCGTAGGTGGCATTGCCGGCATCAATTCTGGCCAGTTCGCGGGAGCTCACATCTGGAAGACCCATTGGGCCATTGGGCGGGGTGCGGAGCGGAACGGTCGTCTGAGCGCTCGCGCCCAGCTCGCGCACGGCGCGCAGAGCCAGATAGCGCCAACCGCCCGAGAGGCGACCCAGCCGAGGACGATGGACTGGGATGCCGCCGTGGCGTAGTCCTCCAGCGGGCTGCGGCTCCAGTCGAGCCCGAAGCCAGCGAAGCCCTGCGCGCGCATCGCGCGGGCGATCGCGCCGGCGCCGCAGAACAGCTCGAGCACGGGACGCCGGCGAAGTCGACGCCCAGGAGCAGCCGCCCGCTGGCGCTGTCTCCGCAGGCGCTGCTGGCACCAGGGTTGCCCGAGGCCGCCACAGCGCCGCCGCGGGGCGCCTGCGCGCCCGACGGGGGGCGCTGGCTGGCGCCTCGAGCAAGGCGGCGACCGCGGCCGGCGCGCGGCCAGTCGCCAGCAGCGCGGGGAGGGGGCCCTCGATGAGCTCGACCAGGTGGGCCTCGACGAACGCACCGAGCTCCATGTCGGCTGGCGGGGTCCAGACGGGCTCGCCCAGCGGCTTCGTCTCCTTGGCGTAGCGAGTGAGACTCTGGGCAGACCGCCATCGACCGCGACGCTGGATCTCCGGGGGCGCCCCCCTCTGCGACAGCACGTCGTCCGAGGCGCCGCCGCGCCGCAGGCTGTAGAGACGCGGGCGGAGGCGCTGCAGCTCGCGGCATGCCTGGAGTACGAGCAGCGGTAGCAACCGGATCGAGCCCCCCGCAGGGGCTGGTTGGGGGGCGCGGCGGTCTTGAACAAGGGCTCCAGATCGAAGAAGATGCTCTCGTCGTTCACGCCCGCCCCCCCCGGCCCCGCGCCGCTCTCGCGCAGGATCAGGCCGTGGAGCTGGCGAGGCGCCCCCGCGGCGGCAGCGGGGGCCCCCGCCGCCGCCCGAATGGAAACTCGCTGTCCATGTACTGTAAGAGGGTCGAGCCGAGGCTGGCATGGCCCGTCCAGTCCAGGTGGCGTCGCGCGCGGAAGCTCCCGAAGGCCTGCGGCGCCCCGCGGTAGATGGCCGCGCCGCGAGCCGCTCCGGCACAGAGTCCCAGGACCGGTGGCACCGCAGCTGCGAGCTCCTGGGATTGGCACGTCCTCACACCCTTCAACGCCGTCGCGTCGGGCGCCGCCCGCCCCCTCGAGGCCGCGGCGGCCTGGGGGGGGAGCCCCAGCAGCCAGGGCCGCTGCATGGTCAAGCCGCGCTTCGCCGAACGGCGCAGGCGCCGGGCGGGAGCCAGAACCATCCTGCCCGTCCGCGGCTGCGGCCGTCGGCTGGGTCGGCCGCCTCCGACGGGATCCACCTGGCTGATGGGGCCGAACCGGCGGCGACGGAGAGCGCGCAGATCCTGCGAAGGGAGCTCCGGGGGTGCCTGCTGCGAGCCCGACCCTTCCCGACGGCTAACACCAAGGGCGCGTTGTCCGTGAAAAGGAAGTAACGGGAACCGAATGCCGAAGTAGATCTCAACAGATGACGATACCCGAGAACGAGCGCCTCCCCCTTCAGGGCCAGGATGTTGGCCCGACAGTCGATGTGCACGGCCGCGATCGAGCCCCGGCCCCCCCCCCGAATGAAGTGCGCCGGGACCTCCTCGAAGTCGACGGGCGGCCGAAGGTCGAGCAGCGAGGGGCCCTTCGAGCCGAACCCCTCATCGCCCTCGATGCCAACATCCCCGAAGATCGAATAGTCGAAGCCCAGAGAGTCGCCCAGGCCGGCGGTGGTGACGTCAGTCTGTCCGATCACTCCGACTGTGCGAGCTCTGGCTCGGGCGCCCCTTTCGACCTTATATCTCCATGTCCCGGCAACTCGGCCAGCGGCGCCCACGAGGTCCTTCGGGGCGCGGCGAGCAACGACGCCTGAGCCCCAGGGGGAGGCGTCTGCACCAGCAACGCGCACGCGCCACGGGGCGCACAGGTCGGCCGAGCACAGGGGCAGCAGGTCGCGGATCACCTGAAGCTCTCTCCGCGCAGCCGGCTAGCCGCGGGCCCGGCGGCCTGGATGACGGCGTTGGTGGCCCCTAGTACGCGCGACATCTCGCGCCGAATCAGGAGGGCCCAGGTGAAGCGGCCGGTGAGCACCAGCGCGAGGAAGCCGCTGACCCGCCGGCGGCGCAGGGCGACGCGGATGGCAGCGCGGACGCGCCAGATGTCGCGCGTCCGGAGGCCGAGCCAGCGCCCTTCGCGCAGCGATAGCCCCAGGAAGTCGCAGTTCTGGGTTGGCTCCTGCACCTCATGGACAGCGAGCCCGCGCTGCTGCAGGTCGTCCGCGATGGCCTGCAGCTGCTAGTGCACCATGGGCGGGGGGCCGCCGAGGACGAAATAATTGTCCACGTAGCCAGCGCCCACAAGCGAGTCGGGGCCACTGGAGATCTGACAGCCACTGTGGCCGTCGGCGATCAGGTTTTCCGCGGGGAGCCCCAATCGGAACAGAGAGGCGAGAGGTCGTCAGCGCGGTCTGGCGCAGGCGCAGGGCCCAGCTGAAGCCCGCCGGGGGCACGAACACCTGCGGCTAAAGGGCGCCAGGTACTTCGCCTCGATCGGGCGCAGGGCGAAGAACTCCTCCACCGCCAGCGGCACCATCGCGCGTTAGAAGGCGACGTCCAAGGTGGCCGATGCGACGCTGAAGCGGACGTCGCCAGCCTCGAGGCGGCCCCAGGCTGACGCCGATGGCAGCTGGGTCCTCGGAGCCTCGGTGAACGTGCAGTTGGCAACGCGGGCGTCGAAGGTGACTCTCAGCTTGCCAGACTTCTTCGGCACAGGAAAATCCCCATATTACCACGGCGCCCCTGGGCGGGGGAGAAGACGAGCACGCGGCGCTCGACCCGGGCGCCCAAGAACTTAGCGCACGCAACAGATGATCGAACGAGAGCAGGGCCCGCGCAAGGCCCGCGCGGACAGAGGCCTCGGCCTGCATCTGGCGAGCCCCCTCCGCATCTTGAAGCACATGGCGCCTTCACTCCCGCAGCGCGGCGGCGCACTGCCCCCCCAGCAACCCAGGGGGCGGTGCCGGAGGCTTGGGCGCAGCAGGCCAGGCGGCGAGGTCTGGCACGAAGGGGGCGGCGGGCCCGCTGCCGCCAGGGTGCCGCGCGGACCCAGCGAGGGGCCCCCGAAGGGCACCGTTGGGGTCGGACACGTCGTCGCGGCACTCGCCCGGCTCGTGGCCGAGGGAGGCGATCGCGCCCCAGACGCAGCTGGCGGCGCCGCGCTGCCCAGGAGTCGGAGCGGCCAACTCGGGCGAGGACGAATCGCCGCAAAGAGAATTCAAAGCTTGCGCGGCAGCGTTGGCCCGGCCGAGCGCGCGCTTGAGAGCGCGGCCTGCCCGTCTGCGCCGCCGGGCACCGGGGCCGCCGGCCGTCGAGTTGGCGGCGGTCAGCAGCGGCAAGGGAAAGAAAGTGCTTCCGGTGGCGGCTCTCCCTGACCGCCTGATGGCTGGTTGGGCTCGCGGCGCGGGCAGCGCCCGCCGGCCGCCGCGGCCTCTGCGCCCCCCCCCATCCCCCCCGCGCCCCCCCGCCCGGCGGCCCGCCGGCGAGGGCGCGCCCCTCTCGCGCCTGCCCCCGCTCTTTCGTGACCGCCATCTCCTTCTGCAGCTCCGCGGCGAGGCGGTCGCGGAGCGCGGGGCAGACGCGGGCCGAGCAAGCGAGCAACGACGTGCCCATCATTGATGGTGGCCATGTCGGCGACGGCGGAGTCGTCGGGCTCGAGCCGGAAGCGGGGCCTCTCCTCCTGCACCTGGATCGACCGCGCCACGAGCTCCAGGTGCGCGAGGTTCGCGGCGTGCACCTGGTCGTAGGCGAGGGCAGTCTCGAGGGGGGGGTAGGAGGTCTGGTGGATCTCGACGCCCGCCTCGCTGGGGTCGAGATCCGTTTCCGCCAGCCACCTCCGGCGACGCGCCTTCGGCGCGCCGCTCCGCCGGGCCATGAACTTGGCGACCCGGCGCAGAGCGCGCGGCCCCTGCGCGGGCCAGCCTGGCCAGGGCAGCTCCGCCAGCTGGGTGACGGCCGCGCGGAACCCCACGCTGCGGATCCCGCGCGCATCGCCACCGCGCCGGGCCCAGCCACCGGGGGCGCGGCAGGGGCGCCAGCCGCCCGGCCGCGGCAGCGGGTGCGCCCGGAATGCCCAGGGCGCCGCTGCGCCTGGCACCGCCGCGGGAAGGCCTGCGCCGACGCCCGGGGCGACGGGCGCGGCCGCGGGCACCGGGGCCGCGGGCGGAGGCGCCGCCGCGGCAGGTCCGCCAGGAGCACCTCCGAAGGCAGCCACCATTTGGATGCACGGTTGGTTTGCTTTTCCTTAGCAAGATGTTAGGCCTTGGGCTCCGCTGCCACGATACGCTAACCCTTTACCTAACTCCTTCTAGCGGCTTAGGTCGGCGTCCTTACTAAGGGGTTGGTAAATGGTTTAGCTAAGGCCTCGGCCCGCTTAGCTCGAGTTGCCAAGCCAGCTTGGATCAGTTTACCAACGCTTAGCTAAGGGTTTGCTAACCATTAGCAAACGGCTTAGCAGCCGTTGCCACGAAGAAAAAATGGTTGACATCGATGTTGATTTTGCTTGCGCTTCCTCCTCATTTTCCTCCTCCTCCGCCTCCTCCTTCTCCCCCACCCCCCTCCTTCTCCTTCTCCTCCTCCTTCTCCTCCTCCACTTCCACGCCCAGTGGGTGGGTTTTGTTTAGCGGGGAGGTCGCTCGCTGGAACTGCCCCCCAAGGGCATGGCGGTTGCTGGCGTCAGCCACTATGTTATCAAGAGTCTCGTTGACAAAATCCGCAGACACAGAATGGGGAAAAGCGATGATTGACAGGAAGACTGTTAGGAACATCGGGATGGCAGCGAAGTAGGCACAGGGAAGACGAGCGGCAGCAAGAAGGGTGACAGAGGAGAACTGACAATGTCTTGGTGGAATGTACGTCTGCTGGCGTGCACGGTAGTTAACGAAATAGTTTGCCTAGTGTAGCGCGTGATGGCCAACGCCCGAAAGGCTACTCATGCGCGCGGGCCCCTGGCGCTTGCTTGCCCCAAAGCTCTGCGCCGCTACCATATTATTTCTGCAAAATCACATTCAATGCCATCCTATGCGACTCCTTTTGGATGGAGCCGTATATGATGCATTTATCAGCCGGCGTTTGTAACGTCTGGCCAAACGCGCCAACCGTGCTTGCTCGCAGAAGGCATGATCTTACCAAGGCCGACCCTCACGGAACCAGACTTCGGCATCGGTGGAGGACGATGACAGCTGCAGCGTTCATCGGCAAAGTTTTGCCTGCCTTGGGCGCTTTAGGCGTGGCTGCAGCTGGCCTCCTCTTGACACTGACCTCGCAAGCATGCTCCTCGGCCTTGCGCTTCGCCTCTTTCTTCGCCGTTGCCTTGGCGATGAGCTGCTGGTGGGGCGACTCCATCTCGGCCGTGCTCTGCCTGGCCTCGCCCATCTCCTTCTCGCCCGGCATGCCGGGCGCGCCGCCTCAGTCGGCCCTCGCTGCCTCCACTGGCGAAGCAGCAGTCTGAGCGCCCGCCGTCGGTGGTGGAGATGCCGACGGCACGACCGGCGCCAGCGTGGCACCGCCGCTCGCGCCCTCTGGCTGCTGCGGCGGGCTGCCCCCGCTGGCGAGAGGCATTGGGGGCTGGCTGGCCCCAGAGCTCCCCTGGCTATCAGCGCCGCGGTCTGCCAGTGCAAACTGTCCGCGATCCCCCATCGAAGGATGACCATGCTGTTGTTGCTGCCCTCCTGCGCCGCTGAAGAACGCCAGGTTGGGCAGGCCGCTGCCGCTGCTGGCCGACAGCGCCCCTTGGGCGCCCGAGCCCAGGAACCCGAGCTGCGTGGATTGCATAGGGTTGAGGCCCAAGCCCTGGGCGACCTGCATAAAGGAAGCTACCTGCGCCATCTGGTCGATGCCAAGCTGAGCCGGGCCAGCTGCGTTGAGGAGCGGCAGCTGGGGCGGCACCGACGTCTTCTGCTTCTTAGCTGTCGCGGTGCCCCTGACGCGCTTGTTGGTGCCCCTGCAGGAGGCCATCTCCCTGAGCGCGCTCCAGCTGTCGAGCGCCATCTGCCGCGGCGGGTCGGCCCCCTCGCACATCGCCAGGTAGACAGGCCGAGGTAGCTCGGCAGGAGTGCCTGGCCACGTGCGGATAAGGGGAAGCATGCCGCACTCAGGGGGCAAGACCTTAGGGAACTCCTTGCCAAAATCCAGGGTCCGCTGGCACAGGTTCTGCGCAGTGATCTGGTCAGACTTGGATGCAGCGGCCAACATGCGAACTATATCGGCACAAGATGGTGGCGATGGGCGGTACATCCCGCCTTTCAGCACGCGGTTGACCACGACGCGAGTCTTGACGTCAGAGTCCCATGGGATGCTGGTATTGGATAAGGTGGCCCAGTCGCTGTGGCGGTGAAGTAGTTGCAGACGCTGCCGCGCGTCGGCCAGCTCTGCTTCTCGGTGGTGCCCAACTGGCCCACGCTGCTGCTCGACTGGAGCTCCGCTTGGACGCGCGAAGAGAGCCTGAGCTTCTGAGGGGCGCTAAAGCAGCTCGCTGCGACGGCCTGGGGCAGGGGCGAAGCTCCATCCGAGAGCACTGGTTGAGAGATGCTGTTGATCATAGTGCGCAGCGAGCTGCGCATCCCGACCTGCATCTCAGAGAGCGACTCTGGCGCGGTTCCCAAGTCCCCTTGGAGCTTGAGCACGCTGGAGGTGCCGTTGATCTCGGCCACGCACTTAGCGACGATGGACATGGGCAGTGCTCCTGGAAGGTCGGCGCGAGGAGACAGCGTCGGAAGAAACAACTGCGCGTCGCCAAAGTGTTCGAGCCAAAAACGGAATGTAAGGCTGCGTCGTTGTGAGGCCCCCCAGGGGATACCGAACGCGATGGCTCCACGCTGCCTCTAGACTGGGCGAGGGCAGCAACCGACGGCCAAATCTTGAGTCACACCGCCAAGGATCTGCTAGATTTGCAGGCGTAAATGCTGAAGTGCCTGAACGGTCGATCTTCGAGAGCTTCTCATATGAGAAATTATGGTTGAAAGGCTTCGCCCGCAATTATTGATTTCAAAAATTCCCGAAGGCGCACGGCGCCCGCAAATTCTCATTTCAAAAATTGTAGGCGAAACCTCTCAACGATAATTTCTCACATGGGAAAGTCGCGAAGAATCTTGATTTCTGGCGCAGGCCAGCTCCGATCGGGCTCGGAGGCCCCAGCCGACGCACCTGCGCTATTTTCAATAGCTAAGCCGTGGTTTTTCCCCAAGCCAAGTTGGAACGCATCTTCTCCCAGCCCCTCTCTTGCCCTTCTGC